TTAATAATACTTTCTTAAGCCTTATAGACCCAAAAATCTCACCTTTTTAAGCGAATACCCGGAAATTTTATACAAGTAAAATTCATGTCCAAACAAACTTCAAGTTCCAAAAATCACAACTTCTAAAAACCCAAAACTCAAAATCACAACTTTTTTTTATAAGAACAAACGCTCAACCCAAAACATAACGACACTGCACTCAGACTCCTCCATTACAATTATGCAGCCATTCATGGCAATTTCACATAAAAGTCAGCAACTTTTGGTCCAAAACAACAACAAAAACTAGCTTCTTCTCTAAACATGAAATAAAGTTCCATCTTTTTTATAAGTAATTACAAAATTTGGGTCACCAAAATCAAGAATCAACAAGAAAAACATTTTTTCATGTTTTTTCTTAACAATGCTTTGTTGGTTACAGAAAAAAATCTAACCTTTATTCATTCTGATGCCCCAATTTGAGCTTCTCGTTCTGCGCTAACTCCTTAAACCCTTGAACCCCTAGTACGTCTATCTACTTTTGAAGAAACAAATTTTCTTTTACCATTTTATCCTTTAAATAAGCTTTTCAAAATAAGGGCAATTTGGTAAATAAACTTTTTTAAAAGTCGGACTTTAATGCGAATATCGATCAAAAAGATTATTTAATATCTTAAAAGGCCACTAAATTTTGATAATTTATCTAACAAAGTCATTAAACTTTGTTTTACATCACTAAAGTCATTACACTTAGCAATAAAATCACTCAATTCAATTTATTACTAAAAAAAAAATATTGGCATAGCAAAATAATTTTATATGAATCTCTCAAATAAATAAAATTAAAGACTTCCATTTCCTAAAATGTATGTGCAAAACACAAATTCAAATTTCAAAACTTATTTATTAACAATTTTGAAAAAAATATTATTTTCAAGTTTAAACAAATCTAACGTTAGCAAACGGTGAAAATTACAAAGTAAAAGTAATGTTTTACCTATTATTTATAGCAAGAAACATTTAAAAATCGTTACACGCTGAAGAACTTATTTAATAAATACTTGCTCTATTTTTGACATTTATTTATTATTTTTCTTCCTGTTTTGGATTTAAATTTTTTTTGTTTTTGCTAGACTACTTTCTACTCATTTTTTTTAATTAAGGAGGCAAATTACTATGGTATTAGTATTACAGTAGTATAAAAATATGTTTCACTAAGAAAAGATATTCATTTATTTATTAAATCAAGAAGTAAATTATTCAACAATATCATAAAAAAAGAAATTCGTGATTAAGTTTATCCCGATTTAATGAGTTTTCTTCGATTTTATTTATTTGTGGATCTGATGATATAAAATATACGAATAATTCATTTTGCTACGTCAAACTTTTTTAATAATAAATTTGATCTAAGTGATTTTATTGATAGAAATATCCAAATTTAGTAATTTTATTGATACAAAACAAAGTTTAGTGACTTTGCTAGATGAATTCGCAAAATTGAGTGACGTTTTAGGGCATCGATTATCTAATTCCAATAATACCCTCGCTAAAAAGCAAAGCCCTAATAAGTACTTCTGTTTTTTATCCGCCATTAATTTTCTCACTTGTTTCCTTCATCTCTGCAATTTCAGTGGTAAAGAAAAGGTAACTGACTTAATTCTTCATTAAATTAAGCTTTAGAATCTCTAGAAAGAGTGATTTTTCTTCTTTTTGAATGAATTTTTTGCATAAAAATGATATCTTGATGGATATTTTAGTTGTTATTTTGAGTTCTTGTTACTGGTTTTACTTGGTTTTGTTCTTCTTCTGCTGCTGCTGCTTGTTTTAATGGATTTTAACTTGTACTTGTTTTTAATAACTGTGGTGTTTGGGTTAATTTGTATGCACCTCGACTAATTTCACACGATACGAGAGTATTTTGTCTACCAAGGCTAGGAAACATAGGAAGTAATGTCTCTAATGGAATTTGTAATTGAGAGCTTGTGTTTTGGAACTCACATTGACCACTAAGCTACGCGCTTGAGTGTTGGTTGTTGTTTGAGATAGAAGGTAGGTGGGTGTGTTTGAGGTATAAGGGAATTTCGTTCAATTTTTGACTGATTAATTCACCCGAGACTAGATTTGAACGTCTTCCGATGTTTCTTTGCCCCTTTGTATCGAAGGGAGCAAGTTTATTGAGTATCACGAAAAAACTTGATAGTTACACATGTGGTATGGGTTATGTGTTGTTTATTGTGTTTCCGTTATGGGTTATGTGTTGTTTATTTTGTTTCGGTTATTGCACTATTTTACTGTTCTTTGTTCTGAATGCTTTGTACTGCTTTTCTTATTGGTTTTCATGCTTTCTTCACTTTTGTGGTACTAACTTGATTAGCTTGAAAAGAGACTGATGTCCATCATGAAAAGTAATAGTAGCATTTTGTATCCCGTTTCAAAACAAAAAGGAGAATCGGAGAAACATGGAAGATTTTGTGATCTTTTTTTCAACTAATCTGGTTTAATCAGTAACTCGTCTTGTGAAGCCTTAACCACTAAGTACTGAAGCTTTTATTAGCCTACAACTGATTAGACTTTGGTTTGAATGCTGAATAACGATTATGTACTAAGTAAGAGAAAGCCTTAATAAAACGCTTTCTTCTGGGAAAAGATAAAATGAAATACAAGGCTCACGCTTGTTTTTTTCCTTCCAAATTACAGATACATCCCTCTGCGAGCAACTCCTTGTGAGTGATTGAAGAATAATAGTTCGAGCACGGTGTCCTGGCTTCTGGTGATGAAGATGTATGAGCTCTTTATGTCTTCGTTCCTGATTGAAGTCCATTGCTTCGTTGAGCGTACTAAGTACATGGTCTTCGTTATTTATTTTTGCAGCCTCGAAGCAAATGCAGGGGCTCTCACAAATTTTGAGGTGCTTGATTTTCTACGCTCCAGAGGTGCAGGAAGAGATCCTACGCGGGTCATAGTCCCCATTGCACCATCAGAGTTCAAGGTTGGAAGTTACATTATTGAACTTCTTGTTTGAGGGTATTTCGTTGTACCCGGCAATATCTAATGTTTCTTATCTTCCAGGTATATGATTATTTAGAGCAAACTGCTGCTTGCAATCAGACAAGACAAGTGATTGGTGAACTCATGGGAAAATGTAAATGTATCAAACTGGAAAAATGTGAATGTATCAAACCGAAACAATGTGAATGTATCAAACTCGAGGGGGATGAGATCGTTAACATCATCAATATCAGGCCATCTTCACTCGTTGAACTTTATCCGGTAATTTTGAAAAGATGACGTTCTTGGTATGTTGACTATTTAAACTTGCAGCATCATAACTTGTTAGATGTCTATGAACTGTGGTTTTGTTGTTTCTCAACATGGGATCTTAATACTTGTAAGTAATCTACATTAGAAAAATATGGTTCACTCATCTGATTTGAGCAAATAACAACGGTGCATCAGTCGTGTTTTAGTCATTAACAATGTGAGTCGCTAGTAAGGTGATTGTTGGACAGAGGCGGAACCAGAATTTGTATTTTAGAATAGTGACTTGTTTCTTAACACAATATACATTGCTTAAGGAAGGAATATCTGTTGTGTTGGGCCAAAACTATCATTAACACGTTATGTTTATTTGTTTCTTCTTGATGTATATCAGATATTAAGGAAATATGACGCCCTTCTTGGGGAAGCTGCAGAAACAGTGGAAGAGCTTGTGGAAAACGTGGTGCAGCTGTTACCGCCTTCTCCAACTCAAATGCAGTCTGAAGAAGGAACTGCTACAGACGATAAAGAAGCTCCAGATGGAGAAACAATGGAGGTTGCGCCTGAAGTGTAAATTCTTGTTACGTTCTTGAACAGAAAACGGTTTAGAATGCTGAGTTCTTTCATTCGCGCTTATATCTTGATATTGGCTTGAGGAAAAAGGACTTAATCCAGCTCCGAATGTCTACTTATATTAGTTGTATCAGGATTTATGAAATGAAAGATCTTAGTCTAGATCTGATGGTAATATTTGATCAAATCTAGTGGTGGATTCAGGATTTTTGTTTAGGGGGTTCGAAAAATAAAAGTGTATATAAGCCAACAAAATAAAATTTCAAGGAAGTAATTTAGTGGCAGACCGTTGAATTTTTTGGGGGTTTAAAACCATGCTTTTAGCATTCTTTATAAAATAAAAAACTAAAAAAAGGGTAAAACCAACAGAGATTCGAACCCTTGACGTGAAGGCTAGTTTTCAAGGGAAATGCCACTAGGCTATCTGTTTCAGTTTGTCATTTAGTGGCCCACAAAATTGGAGAGAGAGGCGGGCTTGGCGACAGACTGCGTCACGGAGCAGAATCGTGTTTGGGAGTGGCTCTTCAGATCGATCACAGATTCTCGACCCCGTCTTTTCGCTATCACTCCAATTGACCTCTCTTGTTTCCATCCCACTGTGAGAAGGTAGAGAGCAAAACCAATATCGTCACCAACATCAATATCGATCTCATCAAGAAGAAAAACATTTAGACTTGTTATCCAAGAATAGGTTTTGTGGTGCATTGATTCCCGTTACGGGACTGAAATGAACCTCAGTAGAGCGCACGGAAATAATTCCGTCATTCAGTCGAAGGGGACATGTTAGCAGCTTCAGGATAACCCTAGTAGGATTCAGGTCAATCAATCCTATTTCGATTATACAACTGAGTTCTAAACCAAAAAAGGACATTTGAAAGTAGAGCAAGGCAACGATCACCTTGCAAGGCTAATTATTACTAGGTGATCGAAAAAGGACATTTGAAAGCAGAGCAAGGCAACGATCACCTTGCAAGGCTAATTATTACTAGGTGATCGATAGCGAAATAGTACCACCGTAAGGGTAAAGAACCCCCGGGAGTGATATAAAACATGAAAGCGTAAGCTCCCGAGAGGATAAGTGGTTTCAAATAGTATATATCCCTCCCTGTAAAAGCATTAAGCATATCACATTGTTCCTTATTTTACCTTACTCTGTTTTCTCTACTCTCTAAAGAAGAAGAAGAAAAATGTCTCTACAAACCAAAACGATCGTCCCTTCTCGCTACATCACCTTCACAATCCCAAATCCTTCGATTCACCATCACTACAATGCTTCTCATCTCCGCATTGCAGTTCTTGATTCTTCGTCCCCTTCAGGACGCACTAAATTTGGTGTAATAGTGGTTCCGGTAGGCCTAGAATCTGACTGGGTTTATTCAACTTTTGAAGGTCATCTTCAAATCCTACTTTGTCACACTGACTTCTATCGACTTGTTTTAATTGGGAATTCGCCGAACCCAATCAACCCCACTTCGCATAGTCCCGTGATAAATCCAAAGGATCAATCGGTTATTCAGCGTGCTTTTATTCGGCTTCTGAATGATGAATTGAAACCGTCTAATCAAAGCTCTACTGTTTGGTTTTCGACTCGTGTAGATATGGTGATTCGGAGTTTGGTGTTGGGTAGATTTTTCGGGAAGATTATTGGGGAAATGTTGATTGAAGATGTGGAATGGAAACTAGAAAATGGGGTCGGTACGGAGTTTAGAAGAAGAATGAGATTTAGGAAATCCCCATATCTGTTTGAAACTTACATGAAGATCCAACCCAATAAAACTGATTTTGTTAACATGGAAGATGTAGAATTCGAGATTGTTGATGATGGGGTTTTAAGACCTTCATATTTGACTCCAATGGTAGCTGGTTTGAGAGTAAACCACTTACTCTTGAACAGGAAAATTCAAAAAGGGATAAAACCAACAGCTCTCTGTTTAGGTGTTGGAACAGGGGCTCTGGTTGCTTTTTTAAACTCTCAATTAGGATTCAAAGTTTTAGGGATTGAAACAGATAGTATTGTTTTGGATGCTGCTAAGAACTATTTCGGATTCGAATCGAGTAACAACTCGAGATTATGCACTGGGCATCCATTAAAAATGGCTGAGAAATTCGCTACTCAAGTTGAAACAGATGGTTTCCATGGTTACATTTTGGATGATGGAGAGTGTTTGAATGAGTTTGACGATAAATTCGATGTTGTTATTTCGGATTTAGAAGCTGCTAATCCTTCTGTAGTAATGAAATCTCCTTCTGCAGAGATACTTCAAAAATCCATGCTGATGAACATCAAGAAACTGCTGGGAGTCAATGGGGTTTTGATACTCGACGTGACGATTCCAAGGGAGAGATATTACGACGAAGTGATTACTCCGGTGATGGAGGTTTTCGGGGAGATGTATGAGATCGATGTCGAAAATGAAAAATACAGTGTTGTTATCGCTGCTTCAGAAACTGAATTTGGGGCTTTCGATCCAAGCGAGAGCGAGTTTCTAAAGACGTTGAAGAAAGTAACAGGATCTTTTCCTGAGGCTGTGAAACCGGTCTCGAAGAAACGCTGAGTATAATTTTCTTTGACGCATTAATATTCCGTGTTTAGACTTTCGAAATACATATATTGCTTATAGAATAATGAAAAATAGCTAAAGTTGATGAGCTTTTGTATAAGTTTTGCATTGGATCAAAGATAGAATAATACAAGAAGTTTTTACATTTTATGATGTAGCCAATTATGATACAATTTTAATTAGTTAATTAGTTAGTCTAATCAACTAATTAGTTAAAATAGTTAGTTGGATTCTGTTATTGTTAGTAGCATGACAGCTTATTAGTTAGTTACATATTTTGAGATTAGTACATAATGTCTAATCAATTAATTAGCTAAAATAGTTAGTTAGTTGGATTCTGGTATTGTTAGTAGCACAGCTTATTAGTTATTTACATATTTTAAGATTAGTACATAATGAGAATAAAAAAAGGAGTAAATTTTAGGTTTAGAAAACAAAAAAAAATTGTATTTGTATGTTAGAGCTATAGTTTGTATAATTGTGCGACATAGCAAATTTTATTAATATGTATATTGTGGGATGCTGATATAAAAGAATCAATTGTATAAGTATATATTTGGAATCTGTGTTTGTATAAAGCGAGAAAGAAAGACAAAATAAAACTCGGTAAGAAAAGATTTGTATTGTATAATTATAAGCGTATAGGACGAAAATATATTTGTATTTGTATATACAGTTTTCTCTTGCTTGATAAAATACAAACATAATTTATACATTTGTGTTTGTATAAAGTGAGAGAGGCGAGAGAGAGAACGAGATATCTGGGGAGAGAGACGAATGACAAAGTGTTTACTATGGTAACATTTAATTTTAGTTAATAGTTTGCTATTTTATACTAATTTCTCTTTCAAAAATATTGTCTTAACCTTGAATTTTCTTTAACATATAATACTGATTTTTTAATGATTTAGATTATTTTTTAAATTAAATGTGCTAAGAGAAATAATACAAGTAGAAGATATATTCAATCAAATGAAAAGACCAAATTTTTTGTCAAATACACATATTGCTTATAGAATTATGTTAACAGTTTTCTATTTTAGCTGAAAGAATATTTTTTTAAAAAGAAAATTGAAATTGATTTAATCTTTTTTAAGATCAATAATATCTTAAGAGAGATCAAATGAATTAACTATTTATCGTCATTTAAAGAAGAAATTATTAAAACAAACTGATTATAAAATAATAGTTAATTAATGACTTGACAATTAAAATAACTAGTAAAATAGATTTTAAACAAAAGTATATATGATGAAAAATATAATATTAGCGTTCTCCTCTTAAGTTTTGCTTCAGGCCCCTAAATCGTTGAGTCAAATCTAATTGTCATTATTATTTCTTTAATGTGGATATTGAATACCAAGAGAGAATCGATAGAAAAGAAAGAGAGTAAGAAAGTTTTTTAGCTTTTTTTTATATAGAAAATAATTGGATGATTAAGTTTATGATATCTTCATGCCCTTTAATCTAGGGTTTATTTATTAACCATTAAATTAAATTAATACACTTGCAAGGAATTTTCTAAGTTGCTTCCAAATTCCTACCCCTTTCATTATCTTCCATAATCTCTTTATATAATTTTTATATTTCAGCCAACTTGTTACTGCGTGATATGTACTTAACAAAAAAAAATTATTGACTTTTTATTTTCTTTTAATATTATAATTTCTATATTTTAATTTTTCAAATCCATCTTGTCTAATGTTTTCTATATATAAAAAAGGCATAGCCTCTTCTCCTCCTATCAAGTGTTAATGGTTCAATATTTGACTATTAACATTTCGATATCAAAACTCTTCGATATCGTATTATCTTGATGTTTCAATTTTTTTTTCATTATACGTTCTATCAAGAGTCTGTTACAATTGAAGAAGTTGTGCACACACGCTAGTATACTGAATTAATTGTTGATATTATTATTATTTGGATATCAAAGGTATAGTACTAGTGATTTTTCATTTTTTCATTTTAAACATATGATTATCTAATTAAATTCCTCTTTTTGATTTTATATGTAGAATAATTTTGGCACAAAATGGATATGGAGATTGATATGGTAGATTCTTTCACAAGGAACAACCAAGAAAGCTTTGGGTACAATCTGCATAGCCTTGAAAACAATATGAAGGTATTAAATGACATATCATTAGAAATTGAGGTACAAGTGAAAGAAGCAGAAAAAAGGAAAAGAAAAAGAAAAAGAGAAGTTGAAAATTGGTGTGAAGAATTTGGGAATATCAAAAATCAATTTTTAAATTTGAAGAAGGATTTATTAGAAGAAGAAAAATGTATTATTTCAGAAAATTTATGTGTGATTAATTCAAGAGTTGTAGGATTTATTGAGCAAAGTCAACATGTTCATCAAGGCCTTTTGGATGATCAAGATTTCCAAAAGGATTTGCAAAGAATTTGGGCATGTTTATCCATCGACTGTTAATTATTCGATATTTAAATTTTATTTAATTTTAATAAATCAGATCGATGAATATTGATATTTTATTATTGGATGAATATATATATATATATATATCATAGTATTGATGTGGTATACACATAAATATTGTTATGTATGAATATTTGAGGATTTTGATTATTTATCTAGTGAAATTATTTTTTTATTTTGTAATTTGATTGGAGATCATATTAATTTGGATGAGCCTCGTAAAATCAATTATAAGGGTAAGACATTTTCTTTAAATTTACGGATAAAATTCAAAATATCTGATTAAGGGCGAAAAAATAAATATTCATTTCACCGTAACGCTCGGCGGTAATTATAAATCCAGTAAATTACTACACCAACATTCAAATCATCTATTATTAATTTTTGTTAATTTAACTATATATCAATATATGTATTGAGTAAGCTGATTCATATGTTATAATTATATAATGACATTTCCACTGGTTCAGAATTTAGAGTATTATTTTTTGGCTTATCTCAATAAATAAGGTTAAATAATATCACCTAAAGAGAAAATGATCAAAATTGTTGATGTATAGAAAATTAATAAGTTTATTAATAATAAGGGAAGTTATATATTTTTGAAAAAATAATTAATATAGAGAGACTGTTATATTTTGTATTAGAGACAACTATAGATACATCATAAATCCGTCAATAATGGATTTTTTAAATTAGTGACGGTAAATTATACTCTCTTCGTTTATTTTTATTTTCATGTTATGCTTTTCAAAAGTCAATTTGATTAATTCTCAAAGTTAAATTAGATACATTAATTTGATATTTTAAACGGAAAAAAAATTAGATATTCAAAAACTATATGAAAAATACTATAAATAACATTTTTTTTCATATTAATATGATGAAAAAATACATCTTAAAATATTGATCACAGTACTTATAGTTTGATTCTAAAAATAGAAACCATAATAAATAATACTAGACGGAGGGAGTTATAGGTACACACAGATTACATATATTTTTTGGGAAAAAGAAAAATATACCTCTGAATCATCGTAAATGATATGTAGACACCCCTGTCATCATTTAAGAACATTGGTGTCCCTGCCGTCCAAATACTAATACATATATACCTTTCACTGTTCTTATCCGTCGATTCGATATTTACTAAATGTCGGATCGGTGGATAAGATTGTATATGCCCTTTAGTAAAAAGGGTATATATACTCTAGTTTTTGAACGACATGTACACCAATATCTCTAAAATATGACGAAATGCATCTACAAACCATTTACCATCATTTGGAGATATATAATTTTCGTCCTTCCAAAATAATACATCTTTTACTTTTACTACTATAATAATAGACGAAATATAAAATAAATAAACGGATAAGGGCCTAAAATATCCTTGAATTATTAAAATTGGTACAAAATTACCTTCCATCCAACTATTAGTCCTGAAATGTCCTACCTTTAGGTTCTATATTGCCCTTTATTTTTAACTATCCCAATTTAAATCCAATTAATAAATTCATTAGTGACGTGGCAATTTATTTTAATTCACTAAAAAGAGACTAAAAAGCTAAATAAGTAACCGTGTAATTTAAGTACTAAAACGAATTTTCGTGCCTATTCAGATTGGATTTGATATATTTCCTCTTTTTTTTAAGAAAATCAAATTTATTAGTGGCACAAGTTTGTCGTAGTCATAATTACCCCCGTGAAAACATTAAAAAATCTTGAAGGGTATTATGGGGAATCTTCAAAAAGGTACCTTTTTAGTTTTCATTTGTGTAAGTTAGTTATATAAAAAAATAAACTGTTTATACAAAACGCCAAAAAAATAAAAAAAATATCAGACACAACTATATAATAATAAAGTATAATACAGTGAACTGATAAATTAATAAAAGGGATAAAAAATTGTTCATATCAGATTCACATTCTTCTTTTAACTCTGCTTCAAATCTATTGATTTTTCCAATGAATTGCCTTCAGAATCTTCCCAGGTATATATATATATATTATTTTTTGTTTGAATTTAATTAGTCTCATACAGAAATGCAGAGTAAGATTGCGTACAATAGATCGTTGTGGTTGGAGCCTTATTTTTTTGTTAAATTAATTTAGTTTATTTTTGGTTTTCAGATCCTCTGGTTTACCACTGAGAAGTTTCACAGGCAACTCAAGAAAGCTTTATTCCACTGTTGTTTCACTGGTAATTTTCATTTATTGATAATTAGATTTGATTGGAAATGTTTGATTTGATTTTTGTATTGTATTAGTGTAAATTGGAAGAAAAATTATATAGGGGTATATATATGTCTCCATTTTGGTAGAAATTGGCTATACCAAATCAAATTACTCGGTACTTGTGCTGGTGGGAGGTAGCGGGGAGGTAGCTGTAGAATTAGTCGAGATGTGTGTAAGTTGATTGGATACCACGTTTGGTAGAAATTGGCTATACCAAATCAAATTACTCGGTACTTGTGCTGGTGGGAGGTAGCAGTACCTGTTGAATTAGTCAAGGTGTGTGTAAGTTGTTTAGATACCATGTTTGGTAGAAATGGCTATACCAAATCGAATTACTTGGTACTTGTATTGGTGGGAGGTAGCTGTAGAATTAGTCGACGTGTGTAAGTTGTTTGGATACCACGTTTGGTAGAAATTGTGGTATACCATATCAAATGACTCGATACTTGTGCTGGTGGGAGGTAGCAGGTAGGTAGCTGTGGAATTAGTCGAGGTGTGTGAAAGTTGGTCTGGATACCATATTTGGTAGAAATTGGATATACTAAATCAAATTACTTTCTTTAAGATTGGACAGAGTTACTTGATGTTTGTGTTGGTGGGAGGTAGGAGGTTATATATACCTTGTGGAATTAGTCGAGTGGCGTATAAGCTAGCCTCGGACACTACAGTTATAGGAAAAAGTTACTTCGGGACCGTGTTTTATTGGGGTTGTGGAGAAAGTTTTAGCAATTTTTCCTTTGGCTTTTCTCGCTACTTGGAGCTTATGGTTTTGTTTCTATAAAAGTGTAGCTCTTTCTTCTCATTTAACTACACGAGAAGCTAAAGAAGCAGAGAAACAAGTCACGGCTGTGCGTGAAAAATCGAGAGTGTGAGGGTGCTATGGTAAGTTGTGTAAATAAAAAAAGCTATCTTTTTTATTTTCTACAAACGTGGTGTTCCAGTCAGCTTGGGGGTTACCATATAATTCTGTCGTCCATCGATTCTTGGACAGATGGAGGGAATCACCTAATGTTTTTGCCTTCGCTGGTATTTGAACCGAAAACCTCATAGTTCTCAAACCATTTCATTGACCAGTAGTCCACACCCTTCGGTGCAAAAGTAGGGCTATTTCTTGTGGTGTATTTTACTCAACGCTTCGAAGTGGTTTAAGATATTACTTAATACTTTTCAATGTTGTTGTTGTATCATGCTCATTTCTTTTTTGTTCACAGGGGATGACAAAATTTGCTGATCAGCGTCTAAGTATTGTGGCACAGGTAATATTTGAAACAACGATCTATGATTAGATTATTTGAAGAATTGTGGAAACTGCTGAATTGTTTTACCTATTCACGAGAAGGCGAAGCGTTGCTTTTTGATTTCAGCCATTAACACGTCTTTTTGAAGCGACAGTCTCCAAGATTTTTGCTGTCTCATCTAAAAGTTTCTATGAGATGAATGTATAGATTTGAACTCAATCTGACATTTCATTGCTTTCACATCTTAAAACTAATTTTTCAAGTCCTAATATAGCCGGAAATGGCGAAAAAATTGGAACTTGATTTCTGCACCTTATTGAAATTAAGTATGTTATACTCCCTCAGTCCCAATCTACGTGAAGGTGTTAGTATAGAGGAGTCGAATAGTTTTTTTCCTGTGATAACAATTTTCTCAAACATCAACTTTATTGACTTGTAGTACTTCTTGTGTAGTTTTCAGAAAATGTTAATTAATCCATTTCTGAATCGGCATTCGCTTACTTGCTCTCTCTCTAGGTTGTATCTGGTCCAGAATCTACTACAGAGAAGGATGAGGAAAAATCCGATACATACAGTCATGACATGACTGCAGCTATGGGAGCTGGTAAGTCTATCTTCCTACATGTTTTTTTTTAGTTCTATAAACTTCATGTTCTTTAACTTTGAGGAGTTGTCTGGTGCATACTTCTCCGACCCGACTTATTAAAGAAAACGTATTACATAACTACATTACATGTTTGCTAATAGGTTAAGTTATGTGTTATCGTTTTCTACTATTTACTCTTCTTTGTTTCTCCTTCTTGCCTACCCCGTTGTTGAAGAACATCCTTTTCTTATGCAAACTGCAAATCCAAGTTTGCTCTATGTTGACATGATTCAGTTATATTAGCGTAACTCTTGGATTATGACATGCACTTTTAGTCATTAACTAATCAAGAAATGTTTGCACAGTCCGATTGACTAACTAATATGTGTGGCACTGATATCGTCGCTGACTTTCTTAATGCAGTCTTGACTTATAGGCATGAGTTAGGAATGAACTACAACTTCATCCGTCCAGATTTGATTGTTGGGTCATGTCTACAGGTAATGTGTAATTCGTTTTCTTTAAACATATTATACTTTTCACTTCTTTTTATTGACTCCAACGAATTATGACAGACTCCTGAGGACGTGGACAAGCTTCGGAGCATTGGAGTAAAAACTATATTTTGCTTGCAACAAAATCCAGATCTTGAGTATCCATGAAATATGTCAAGATTATTTGTTTCATGTCGGATTAACAAATTCATTTTAAGTCCTTAATTAGTATTTTCTAGATACTTTGGGGTTGATATCAATGCTATTCGTGAATACGCCAACAAATGTGGTGCTATTGAACACTTGCGTGCCGAAATAAGGTTAGTTCAAGAGAAAAAAGGTCAGCAGTGACTGTATCTCTATCTCAGTGATTGGCGCTTGCAAGTGAATCGTTGTGCATACAAGTTCCGAAAATTGATAAGCATCTTGCTTTTGTGGCTCTATAAAATTTACATATAATTTCTACAATGTGTGATGCATAAGGCATTTCGAAAATTTAATTCGATGAAGCTAATGAACCAGGGATTTTGATGCATTTGATTTGAGGTTGCGGCTTCCAGCTGTAATAAGCATATTGAACAAAGCCATCAATAGAAATGGAGGTGTGACTTACATACACTGCACAGCTGGACTTGGCAGAGCTCCCGCAGTTGCGGTATGTGCTTATGAGTTTCTTTATGTTGTCTGACGGAGAAGGTTGCTATAACTCTAGCATAGTTATGATTGAACTTACGTTCTATTTGGTACTTTGAATTGCAGTTGACGTATATGTTCTGGGTTCAAGGCTATAAGCTTAGTGAAGCTTTCGATTTACTCATGGTAATTTTTCCCTGTAATGTTGTTTATCTAGTTTCACTTTTTGAAAATGTTATTATTGCCGGATGACTTGCTATACCACAAGTGTTCTTTGAGAATATCGTGAATAATCGTCCTTGAGGAAGAAGAGTTTGTCTTTTTGGGTCCAGTAGACAGTAGCTAAACTTATTCTATGTTTATATTTTGTTTTTCAACTCGAACTGGATTTTGCGTATCTTGACCATATCTTCTTGCAGAGCAAACGCTCCTGTTTTCCGAAACTAGATGCCATCAAAAGTGCCACAGCAGACATTGTGAGTTCTATTGTTGTTTTAACAATTTATCATTCCCGTATTTACCTTATGGCTTTTGGTGTTGGCGTGGGATGCGTGGTAATATATACTGCACTTCATCATTTGATAAAGTGAATTTGAAATTTGACGGAGTATCTTCCTGTTTAAAGCTTACAGGCCTTAAAAAAATGCCCGTAACGTTAACATGGCATGGTGATAATTGTACTACAGTGGAAATATCTGGACTTGATATTGGTTGGGGTCAGGTAATATTCAAGTCTCACAATGGTTCTCCATTAGTTATTTTCTTCAGAACGTTTTACGGTTTTTTCAGCTGACCATAGTATACTTTGTTCATCATTTTCAAATTTCGACTGTCAACTTCAGTTCAGCACTAGGATATACTGCTATAGGTAGAATTGGTCTATGACAATCACACTTCCTGTCTTCGATCTCGTAAGAGCTCTTACTACTTGGAACAGTACATTCTGGAATAAGAACAACGGTTCCTATTATTGTAGCGTTTCGTTGCCTTTTACATGGTTCATGAAATACTCTTCTCACGTCGATGCAATTCTGCTTATTTCATGCTTAATATTAGAGCTTATTTAAGAACGTTATAATGTTTTCCAGAGAATACCTTTAAAGTTTGACGAGGAACGAGGTTTGTGGACTCTCCAGAAGGATTTGCATGTAAGTATGTTGTTTTAGGCTTGCAATTGCTTCGTCCTTCTTCTTTCAATGATGGAAATTGTCGAGAAGCTAGTAAAGTTGTTGCCTTGTGACCAAGAGTTCGGAAACAGTCTCTTGCATAAATGCAGGGTAAGGCTAATTGCGTTAAAGGATGTTATCCTAATGTCGTCTTTATTTACAGGAAGGAAAATATGAATACAAGTACATTGTAGACGGTGAATGGATATGCAACGAGTTTGAGCCGATCACTTCTCCCAACAAAGATGGACATGTCAACAACTATGTAGAGGTAAGAAACTGACTTTTCGTGTGATTTAGAGAGAAAGGTTCTATGGCTTCCTCTGTTTCGTCCTAGATATGCCTTCTTCTGTACATTAACGCGAATCACTGACCATATACATATGCTGCAACGATGAGGACGTTTAGCCTTTATGCCTAACTTTTACCCTGACCGTTGAATCTAGAGTAACGATTCTTTGGCTTCACGGTTATCATCTCTTACCTCTAACGTTCAACTTGGACGTGCCAACAGGTTCTTGACGAAAATCCAGACAACATCACTAGTGCAGCAGTACGAAAGAGGCTCACCGGTGATGACCCTGATCTTACCTCAGATGAAAGGCTCATAATTGAACGATTTCTTGAAGCTCATGCAGACGTAGAATGAAGGAATACTTATTACTTACTAGATACACTTAATAATTGTAAGCAAAGTCAATATCTGCTATATAACTCATCCAGTTGTAATTAGTATGCAGTTTTACTTGAATGAACACTAGTTATATCATATATGTTGTAGTGAAGTAATAACATCCTTAATCTTCTTTTTTTTTTTGTCTTTTGGTTTCTACTTCTGATTAAATTCGAATTCGCGTGTGAAAAAGTTGCACACTTTCCATAACTAAGGTAACCTTATTCTCGAAGCTCGAATCTAAGACTGGTCTGGTACTAGTATTTGTCTATATGTAGTAGTGAAGTAATAACATACATAATCTTCTTCTTCTTCTTCTTCTTTTTTTATGTGTTTTGTGTTTCTACATCTGACCAAATCCATATTTGCGTGTGAAAAGTAAGACACGTTCCTTAACTAAGGTAACTGTTTTCAGAGCTCGAACCTAAGACTGATCTTGTTAAAGATAAACGAGTACTAGTACCCTCTACCACAATGTTTGGTCTTCAAAGCCCACCATTGTTCTATATCTTGAGAAAACGTAAAATATTTGGCCTCTGTTACTTTTTATTTGTCCATTTTGGACTTGCACGTTGTAAGAAAGAATTATTAATATGAATATTTTACTATAATATTCATATTGATTGATACATAGTTTTAGATCTTGGAAAAACAAGTAATGTTGACCATAGTCACGGTACAATAGAAATAATATATTTTTTGATATATTAAAATAACAAGTAAAAATAAAATACTTTTTAATAGAGAAAGAAAATTAAGAGTGGTCGAATCAAAGCATTAATGTGTAAGCACAAGTGTCACAATTAGATTCCTAATCACATGATTAAGCATTAATTAGGCGTGTCGGTGATTTTTATCTGTTTTGTTATTATAAAAATAATATTCAAAATTAATAGTGTTAAAATTGTAAAATAATGATAACAATAAACAGTAAATTCTCAATTGAGAGTTAAAATCTTGTATTTGAAAAAGTAGTAATATATAGATAAATTTTAAAAGAAATTTATTCCTTAAAATATTATATAAAAAAAAACTTTGTACTCCATTAAATTAAACCAAGATAGATCTAGAATTTCATCGATATATCAATGTGAATCCAATGATATTTTATAGATCTTAAATATGTATTAAGAATTTTTCAAATATTTATATATATTTAATTATGAATTAGATTATATATTAACTTGAGATCGATAAAAAATTTGTACAGTTAAAATAACTTTGTTAAAATTAAATTTTTGTCAGATTCACTTGATTTATTTTGAAAGAAGATTAAACTTTTTTTATGAGAAAATCATAAAAACACAAAATTACAATAGAAAAAGTCATTTTTTTTTCATTATTCTAATTTTGATTTTCATAAAACTAATTTTAATTTTTGTTAGTATTAATTGACACTAGATAGAAAAGGTTTTCGATCAAAGCTTTTGAACCTATTCCAAAGTCACTTTAGAATTTGATTTTCAATTCAAATTGATGTTCGAGATTCTAAATTCATAACTCAATCTACTTTAATTTAAAATCTAAAAAAAGAAAAAATTAATGCACTTCAAATCTATCCGATAAAACAAATAAAATTCAAATTCAAATTCTAAAACCGTCAAAATTTGGACCACAAACCCTATTTCAAGATTATAATTTTCTGTTTTTGTTTCAATAATTAATGGCATAACTACGTTAGTTTCTATTAATATAAAAAATTTATGCTGACAAAAAGATAATTAAAAGCAATTTTGTAACAAACTTTTTGTACGGTTTCCCAAATTACTATGAATAACATATATAGATATTTCAAATTTTTAGAAACAAAATTATTTATTTGTAATTATTAATTATTCTCCCACTTTACTAAAGTATTATATTATGTTAAGCGTGTCATTAATAATTCAAATATTAAAAAATAAAAATTTAACTAGACCATATTTATTTGTGGATCTCAAGAAAAAAAAACTTTTCTCCTGTTTTAATTTTGTAATATTAATTACTTATTTTTGAGATTTAATTATTAATTTATGTAAAACAAAATATTTATATATCGATTATTTTAAACTTTTTTTAATAATAAAATTATTCCAATATTTTTCTGCCAGCAAAGCACGAAGAGCCCACAGATCATATCATCACGTTGATTATTTAATTCACAAATTTATAAAATAAAATTAGAAATTATACAAAAAGTAAATAAAGAAATATTACTAGTATTTTTGCTCTCTATATTATTGAAAAATTCAGATCTGGTCCTATTAATTTATAATTACATTTACTAATTTGCCTTTTTTTTAATTATATGTCAATCTCATTTTTATTTAGTCGATCTTAATAGTTTAAATAAAAAGAATTTCTTAATAGAAACACTCTCTAAATTGATAAAGTTTAAATAAAAATAGAAAATAGAAAAATATAATGATAAGGACTTGCATAAGTTGGAGAAAAAAACTATTTTAATTCTATAATATACGACTTTAATTCGCGTATTATTATCTTCAATTAATTATCGTATATATTTTTAATCTAAGTAAAAAAAACCCTCTAATACTGAGTAGTAATATAAGTCTAATATAATACATTAATATGTAAATGATGAAAGTAAGAATTATTCTTTCCTTCGTTTTTAATTTGTTTGTCCTATTTTTTTAGTCCGTTTAGAAAAATGTCTATTCTTTTTTGTAACACTTTAATTTCAATTTTCAATGTGACATATTTAAAAATTCAAAAACTAATGGTAAATTCTACATAATTTTAGTTTTAGAACATACTTAAAATTCAATATTTTTAAATTTCTTAAACTTCATACTAAATCAAAAACCAACAAACAAAAAGCAGGGAGTAAAATTTTTATAAATATTTAAAATAAAAAATACACTTGAAATATTTTAAAAAAAATTTAGCTTCCTACTTGAACTATCCGATCTTTTCTTACCTTATATAAACGATAATGATATTTTAAATTAAAAAAGAGGATAATTTATATATAATTTGAGGTATAAAACTCAAAAAAAGGATAATTAAGTGTAAAAGGATTATAAAAGCATACATAAAAGTAATTAAAGGTCAAAATGTGTATAATCAATAACTTGAAGGAGTGAAATTAAAATTTTCAATAATTAAGGGATTAGAATTAGTGTTAATAATACTTAATTAACAAATAAACAGTGAGATTACAGAGTAAAGCTGTGTAAAGCAAAACAATATAAACAGATTTCTACTACTGCTATTCGCCATTTGCCATTTTCTTCCGATTCAGAAATCACACTCTTTTCAATGCCAAAAACGAAATTCAAATCACAAATTCATAAAAATTCCGATTAGATTACAATGACGATGGGACGTAGCTCCGGCGACGACAATAAGGATAAGAATGATAACAATGCTATAAGCTCCGGCGGTGGATTTCACTTGATCCGTGACCGTTTTCGTTTTAAGAGAAATTCACAGAGACCGACGGAGGCGGTAACGTTGCCGTCTTCTTCTTCTCCGTCGGATCGGCAGTGGAAAACTCCGGCACGATCTCATCATCACCATCACCATAACCGATCTTTTAGTAGGAAGCTGATTTTCTTCTGTTTCAGAGGGAAATGGTTATATTTGTGTATATTTCTGGTTATTTTTGTTTTTGCGTTAGCGTCTATGGTGTTACAGAGTTCAATCATGTCGGTGTTTAGGCAAAATGAGAGAGCTCGTTCGAGATGGTCTGTTAGGGACGATTTGAAGTTAGGAAGTTCATTGGAGTTTGTTCCACCACCGAGGTTTCAGCTTGGTAATGGCTTGGACTTGGTTAGGAATCAGCCTAGAATTGGTGTTCGGCCTCCTCGGATTGCGCTAGTAAGAATTCTATATACCTGTGTTCATGTTTAAGTATGCGAATTGTATATTTATGGTTAATAATAGTAATATACAATCTCCATAGAACTTAGGAAGCTGTGAACGATTGTCATAAAAATGCAGAAGAAAGCAAGTTCAAATTTAATGAGTGAACTATTTTTTAGTAAAATCCTAAGTGAATATCTTGTAGATTTTTTTTTTGGTTGAACCTATAGGATCTAGAATTCTAGATGCATGTAAGTGGAGTTTATTCTAGAGCCTTAGAGCTAGGGAGATGATGGCAAATGATTCAAACTTAAGAATCTCATATCATTGTGTGAATTGTGATAGTGAGAGGATAATGTTCTTATCAGCCTGAAACTATATGTTTGTCTAAATTTGGAGGATATGCCGTAACTTTTTGTTTGTTAATTAGTAAGAATAAGATATGAGCACAACATTTTGACATATTTAAGAATATACATTCCCCTCTTGCTCATTATTCATGACTTGTGATCTTTACCTGGTTCCTGCAGTTTTTGAGTTTTAGCAGATGTGAGTGATTTTATGTTTACATGGATTATACCTTTCCGATTTCTTTTTAAAATGCACAGAGAAAAGACTGGTTCTGAGAGTCAAGTCTCCATTTAATTTTGTTGTCTTCATAATATATTGTATCTTCCCTGCTGCTATTTCTATATCAAAATGCACATTGCATTGGTCTCTTTTAACTTCCACTAATTTAAGTATGCTTCAATTTGACTGTGTAAGGTCTTAGGAAACATGAGGAAGGACCCACTGTCATTGATGCTATCTACTGTGGTGAAGAACTTACGGGGCCTAGGCTATATGATTAAGGTAATTTTTGGTAACTTCAAGTTATAATATCTGCTTGCTGTATCCTATATATTACTGTCTAAGACATAATAACTTAAAGCGTCTGTGTTGCAACTTGCAATTAATATACACTTCAGATTGTAATTCTGCTACTAAAGATGGTATTTCAGCTATAGAGATTCTTTTCACCTGAAATTTCTATTTTAGATTCATAGATAACAAACTTCTTATTTGAGATTGAGTGAAAGTTTGGTTGCAAAGAGGTAATTGGGGTTAAGAACTGGATCACCGTGGCCTATTGAGATTAATACACCTTAGGTTCTGGAAAATGTAAGGGGGTGCTTCTCTTGGAGCTGGGAGGGGACTGATCTGGCAGGCCGTAGAAACAAGTTTTTCTTCTTTTGAACTATAATGTCATATGTTCTTCCTGTTTGCTCTGCAGTTTCTTATTTAAGTTATGGTTATTCTTATTTGTTAAGATTCCTTTTCTTTTTTCCATAC